GGAACAAGGGAAAGTGAGTGAAAGAAACAAAAATGGAGAGACGAGTAGGGAAAGCATGATTAGGTCAAAAATTGTCCCCTGCCCACAGGGAATAAGGAGCCCCTTTCAAGGCTGAGGAACGTCCTGAAGCTCTTTCCAACCGATGTGGAATTTTTGAAGAGTAATGCAGTCAGTGCTGGTTGCACAGCTGGTCTGTGACGCAGAGTGACACCTACAGTACAGGTTCAATTCCTGCAGTGGCTGAGCTCCTACTTTTTCAATCTCACCCCTTGCCTGAGGCATTAGACTCAGCATCAAGTCGTCTCTCTCCAATGAGACAGCGTGGTGACGTTACCTTCACAGACCAGGGGTCTCTTAGCATTTCACCTTCGTGCCAGATTCCACAATGTTTTATGAAGTTAGGAAATACATATGAGTGAGCTTTATGACCCAAATAGAGAAACACAGGAACAGGAGGCCATTCAGTCCCTCCATCCTGTTCCACCATTCACTGAAATCAGGGCCTTCACTTAAATCTGCCTTAACTTCATTTAATTACCTTTGCCCTGCTTCTCTTGATATTAACTGACCTATCACCCTTGGTGCCAAAATCTTTAATTCCACAGTCCGTGGGGGAGAGCGATTCCGATCTCCCCAGCTTTCTGGGAGTAAAAAAACCTGCCCCCTGTTTGCTGTCCAAAATGTCTAATTTAAAGATAAGATCTTTCCCTTCTTCCAGTGGAATGACTAGTATTAACTGTGTTAACCATTGTGAATGCTTTTACCATCTAAATTACCACTTTCATTTCACCCCTCACTCTTCTGTACATAATGGAAGTGAAGCTAGTCTTGTACAGCTTAAACGCAGGCAGCATTCTGGTAAACTTACACCACACCCTCCCTGTTTTCTGCGGCATAATATTCTATGATTATATTCTCTGTAGTGCTGTACTGAGGATGGCATGGTGGCTCACAGTGGCAGGGAGAGTTGAATCAGAGATAGTAGGAACTGCAGATGCTGGAGAATCCGAGACAACAAGGTGCAGGGCTGGATGAACACAGCAGGCCAAGCAGCATCATAGGAGCAGAGAGGCGTCCATCCTGGGCCTCCTGCAGTGCCACAACGATGCCACCCGAAGGTTGCAGGAACAGCAACTCATATTCCGCTTGGGAACCCTGCAGCCCAATGGTATCAATGTGGATTTCACAAGTTGCAAAATCTCCCCTCCCCCCACCGCATCCCAAAACCAGTCCAGCTCGTCCCTGCCTCCCTAACCTGTTCTTCCTCCCACCTATCCCCTCCTCCCACCTCAAGCCGCACCTCCATCTCCTACCGACCAACCTCATCCCGCCCTCTTGACCTGTCCGTCCTCCCTGGACTGACCTATCCCCTTCCTAACTCCCTACCTACACTCACCTTTACTGGCTCCATCCCCACCTCTTCGACCTGTTTGTTTCCTCTCCACCTATCCTCTCCTCAATCCATCTTCTATCCGCCTCCCACTCTCTCCCTATTTATTTCAGAACCCCCTTCCCCTCCCCCTTTTCTGATGAAGGGTCTAGGCCCGAAACGTCAGCCTCTCTGCTCCTATGATGCTGCTTGGCCTGCTGTGTTCATCCAGCCCTACACCTTGTTGTCCAGGAAACTCACCTGACTTGCTCTCTGCCGTTATTGTGTGTCGGGAGGATTTGTCAAGTAGGGACACTCAACCTGTCTGGTCACACAATGAATACACCTTTCTTCATCCTCTACTGGGCCTCAAACCCAGAGTTTGTGGGTCAGAGGCCGGGACCACTACCTGTTGTTCCCTAATGCCTTCCCTGGGCAACCCCCAAATCAAGGTTTGGAAATCGTCATGAGCCCTCAGTCAGAACAGTGACAGAGGGAGTGCAGGGAGGAGTTTGCAAGACACTTAGGTAGGGTCCATCGGAATAAATACTTCCCCTTCGTAGAGGGGTCAATAACCGGCTGCGGGAGGCTGGTTAGCTTAGATGGCTGGTTTGGTGATGCCAACTGATGCCATCAATGTGGGTTCAATTGGTGACCTTCAGGTTAACCTTGTGCCCTGAACCTAAAATGGCACCGAGAGGTGACATTACAAACATTTCACCTCAATCGCTTGAGTGCGTGTGAAAATAAATGCTATTCTATTCCATTCTGTTCTATTCTATTCCATTCTGTTCTATTCTATTCTATTCTATTCAGTTGTCTCTCTCTTTCTCTATTGAGAGAGTGGTCCTCTGTGACTTTACCTATCAGTCACCATCTGTAATGGATTTAAGGGAAGAGGAAGTTTAGAGGGCTCTGCAGGAGAATTTGTTTCATCCAGATGGTGGCGGCTATACAGAACTCATTGTCTGAAGAAATGATCAGAAGAGCCAATCTACGACCTCGCTCATACTTTTTGCCTCAGGACCACAGCGCCAGTCCTCAGGAAACATCTCAGGCCCTTTCCAATGAACAACTGCAAAGCAGCACTGCTAATCAGGAACAAATCTGTACATACAATAATGCTGTGTCACTGCAATCAGACTTAGTCAAAACCAATATCTTGCTCATCTGTGACTCAGACAGGATGGTACAGAGTTTGCTTCCTGTTCCTGTAGATAGGTCTTTGACATCTGGCATGGATGCAATTGGCCAAAAGGCCACTTCCCATGATGCATTACTCTAAGGCTGTTATAACTTGGTCACGACTCCACCTTGCCTTACAGGTTGAGAGTCTAAAAATCTCAGCACACCGCCCCAGTTGGGATCCCGAGCAGTCGAGCTGATTCTCATGTGTTCTCACCAGCTGCTGTCTGGGTCATGGGACAATGTGTGGAAACCAGCTCTGAGGAGGGATGGATCCAACATGAAATGCACTGACCGGGCTATGACCGAAGGTAGTCGCTAATAAACCAAGAGGGAGTCAGGAGAAATATCCTTCTCCAGAGAGAGGTGAGAATGTGAGCAAGGATAGTTGAGGCAAATTGTGTCAACATATTTAAGGAGAAACTGTATAAACTTTTGAGAAGGAAAGGGACAGTAGGATTTGCTGATGGGTAGAATTGAATAGAACGGGAGAAGGCTTGTTTGGAGCATGAAGATTCACAAGGGTTGGTTGGATCGGTTCCTGTGCTCTAAGGTCAACATCACTACTAATCTGATTGACCTCAGCTCATCGTATACGAGCCAAGGGTTGAACTTGGGAGCTTTTAACCCTCTCCTTAGTTACAGTGTCTGCAATTTACTTTCACGATCTCTACACAATAACTCACAGCTTTCTCCAGGTATTTGTTTGTGGCCTGAGGTCACTGAGCTGTCTTCGTTTTGGAAAACAATTGACACACGTGCACTTGGGAGTTCCCCATGTATCATTTTGTTAACCAGGTTGATCGTCTAAAGAGCCAAAAATACTGATACAGTTGCCAACCAAATTGAACATGTCAAATGAAGTCAACAACATCCACCCAGTTCTACTGGCGTGATCCTGTGGCCGAGTGACTTTCACCCATACCCACAAACCTTGGCCAGTAGTCAGAGGAGCCAACCTATGATCTTTCTTATTTTTGCCTCAGGGCTACAGTGCCAGACATCTCGGGCACATTGCAATGAATGACTGCAAAAAGTGCACTGCTAATCTGGAATAAATCTACTCCTACAATGTCTTGCCATTACAGTCAGACTTGGTCAAAACAAGTATCTCACCATACCGTGACTTAGACTAGAGAATGCGCTATTCTGAATAAAGGTCACTGGGCTCAAAACGTTAACGCTGTTTCTCTTTCCACAGATGCTGCCAGACCTGCTGAGTTTCTCCAGTGATTTCTGTTTCTGTTTCACATCTCCAGCATCCACTGAGTTCTTTGTTTTATGTTAGAGGTTCTTCTTAATCTAAAGTCGTTTAACTCAAATGATTCGGAGAATTCAGCCTTCTCCCTCACGACTAGCATTTATCAATTACGTTTCTCAAATCAAGTTCATTTTCGAAAGTGTGAGAGAAGTGCTGAATTATATGAGGAGTTTAATAACTCTATAAACCCACAGTTTCAAAAATTGCAAAGAATCATAGACTAGAACCTCTAACATGTAGAAGCAGGCCAATTGATCCATACTGACCATCCAAAGACCATCCCACTCTTACCCACCTTTCCCATGGCTAATCCACATAGCGTACACATGTCCAAACACTATGTCTCACTATGGGGCAATTTAGCATGGCCAATCCACATAACCTGCACATCTTTGGACAGTGGGAGGAAATGGGAAGAAACACGTGCAGACACGGGGAGAACGTGCAAACTCCACACAGACAGTCACCCAAGGATGGGATCAATCCCAGGTCCCTAGCACTGTGAGGCAGCAGTGCTAACCACTGAGCCACTGTACCACACACAGATATGACACAACGTATTGATCATTCTCCACAGAACTTTCATTCACCTCCAGATGAACAAGCACAGAACACAAAGAATCTACACAGACTCTATTCCCCAGATGCTTACAGCGTAGGAGTCCTTTATATCTATGGTGTTAAAAGTCAGTTCTCTGAAAGAACAGTCAATCCCATTGCCCGACTCTTCCAAAGTGACTTCTAGACAATTTTCCTGAAATCAAAATAGTCGTTTTAAATGTATTCATTGTATCTGCTTGCATTTGCCTTTCAGGAGCTAGACCATTGTAACAAACTGCGTTTTCTAATCATCCTCTATGCTTTTACCATTATCTTCAATCTACGCCTTCTGTTTACAGACCCTCCTGTCAGTTTCTACCTTCTCGAAACTCCTTCATAATTCTGAACTTTCATCCTCATCACCCAAATGAGAAGCAGTTTCCAGGATTTACAGATGCATATAACACCGTCAGATTGAAAAGAAAAAGACAAGAAAGAGGTAAGATTTGAGTGAAGAAACTATGCTTTGTTAAAAGAATAAGATTGAAAGAAAGGCAAGGGGGAAATTGCAAGCCTCGGTTCATGGGCACTGACTTACAGTAAACGTCAAGGACAGTCAAATGAATTTGACCACAGGGTACTTACCCAGTAAGCATCGCTGAAGTGCCATCTTACTCACAGCCCAGACAGAATTCATCTGCTCGAGTTTGAAGCTGTGCTGAGTAAGAATGCAGCAAGCCACATCCTCTCATTATAAACACATCAATATCAGGAAGCTGCCCGGAGGCAAGGTCGGAGCATAAAGTTTGTTTTTAAAAAGAAGTTCCATTAGATTGTGGTTGAATCACAAATAACACAACAGGGGTGAACTGTAGAAAATCCTGACAAGGAAGCTATCTGTTTGTTCGATTAACTGAAAAGCTCCTTCATATTTGATGCCTCCACAGATTCGGCTGATGATAAATTATTGGCCAAAATACCAGCCAGCAGAAATTGACCAAAAGCCTTTCAATGTGTTGTCTCTGAATTAGGGGGATTATTCCACCTCTAAACTTCTCCTGGTAGTTTGTGAAATTCGACTATGGAGGCTTCATTAACCAGTTGCATTACACTGTCGCAGAACAGTTACGGAGCAAGAGGTCATTTGGCCCATTGTGTCTGTAACTGGGAAAGTTGCTGTGCTCTCACTCTCTCATTAGCCAGTGACGGCTGGAGCTGGTTTAACCTGAGGGTCAACACAAACATTGACTGCACCTGGAGAACCATCAACTCAGTGAAAGACACTCTTTGGTCTGCCCGAAACTTATTGATCTTCCAGAGGAAGGAGTTAACCCTGACAAAGTGTTGCAGACTGGCACGTTCCAAGGTCCAGGACTGTGCGCTGAGGGACGCATTAAAGCTTGGGGCAGCTGCTGCCCAGGCACATTCGGGAAAGACCACCATCTAAAGGTCTTTCTGCCAAAGTTAAATGGGGATCCTTTCAGTTAGCGGATCCTCTCGGTGCCTCAAATGTGTGTAATTATATTCTGGTTCAAATAACAGATGCCTTTGGTTTGTTTGGATGGAGTTAAAGTGTTTATTTGTTTCCTTAATATGCTACTGCACAGAACCGAACTGCATTTGTGACCATGGGTGTACATAAAAAGTTCTGTTTTAATGAATAAACTATGTTTTTGAAATCAAACAAAAAACAGAAAAAGTTGTGAAGGTGGGACGGTCATGGTAACTTCAGCTGGTGTGGGAATCGAACCAGCTCTGTTGGCATCGCTCTGCTTTGGAGACGAGCCAACTGAGCTAATAGACCCCCTTCCTGCCACTCGAAATGCGAAATTCACCTGTTGTCATTCTCTCACCTTCTCCATGTGCATGTATCATTATCACATAGAAGTTTAGTTCCCTTTGGAATGCTTCAGTTCAATCTGCCTCCACCATGATCTCAGACAGTGCTCTCTAGAACTTAACAGCATGCAGCGTGAAGCAGGTTTATCCTGCAGCACTCTTCCTTCTCTAGCTTGCTTTAACTCTGTGCCCTCTCATTCTTGAATGAGAACAGTCTCCCTCCTCACCCTAGTTCTGAACACCTCGATCAGATCTCCTTTGCTTCCCCAAAGAAACCAGGAGCAAAGAGGCTTTGCTTTAGTTATATAGAACACTAGTGAGATCGTGCATGGAGTATTGTGTGCAGTTCTAGTTCCTTTTGATTTAAGAAGGATGGACTTGCTCTAGAGGGATGCTATGGTGGTTCACCAGTCTGATTCCTGGCGGTGAAGAGAAATTGAGGAGTCTAGGTCCATATCCTCTGGAGTTTAGGAGAATAACATATAAAGTTGCAAAACTCTTAAAAGGATAGCTATTTTCAATTAACCTGTTACAACACACATCCAGGGCAGGTAGGTCTTGAAGCTTTGACCTTACTAATACAAAGTTGGAGACACTACCATTATGCTTTTCATAAAAGGATAGACAATCAGAGTAAGAAGTTGACCATTGAAAACAGGAATGATGGAAGAGGATAGTAAATCTGGAGTAGGGCTGTCAAGACTGGGCTGTAAAATATATTCAAGGCTGAGGTGGACTGATTTTAAATCAGCAAGGGAATCAAGGGTTAAAGCAGGAAATTGGAGTTGAGGCTTATCAGATCAGACATGACCTCAGTGAATTGCAGAGCAGACTCAATGGGCTGAATGGCCCACTTCAGCTCATGGTCTTCTGGGCGTTTCTCTAGGCTGGAAGGGGTCTATACCCAGGAGACACAGTCTCACAGACAAGCCATTTAGGACTGAGATGAGGAGGAACTTCTTCACTCAGATGGTGGTGAATCTGTGCAGTTCTCTAGCCCCGAGGGCTGTGGAAGCTCAGTCACTGAGTAGGTTCAAGATAAAGATTGATGGATTTATAGTTACTCATAGCACGGTAGATAACCAACCATGATCTAAATGTGGAGCAGGTGCGAGGGGCTGAATGGCCTACTCTTTCTCCCTTGTCCCTGTAAAAACAGTCTGAGCTTTTGCAACTACACTCATCATGGAAATTCTTCATCCTTGGAAGCAGGCTCATGAACTACCACAAGGGGGCATGTTCTTCTGACTAGTTCGACCGCAATAATCATTAGACTTCCTACAGTGCAGAAAGAGTCCCTTCAGCCCATTGAGTCTGCACCAACCCTCTGTAGAGCAGCCCACCCATACTCACCCCCAATCCCTGTAACCCTTCTTTAACCATGATTAACCACACCCCCCCAAGCCTGTACGTCCACGTGCCACTGCAGGGTAATTTAGCACGGCCAAACCACCTAACGTGCACATCTTTGGACTGTGAGAGGAAACCAGGGCACCCAAAGGAAACCCACGCAGACACGGGGAGAATGTGCAAACTCCACACAGACAGTTTCCTGAGGTTGGTGATCGAGCACAGCGCTGTGAGGTAGTGGGGTTAACCACTGAGCCACCATGCTGTTGGATGAAAATTCTGCCAAACTTACTCTTCAACGGAAGACGAAGTGAAGCTTGTGGTCCATCTGACAGTATGCCAAGGTTAATGACACCCCCCCACGCGCACCACACCCCACCCCAACCCCACCAACCCCAAGACCCTCAGCAATGGGTGTAAAGTGGATTCCACATTCCCAGTGTCTGCCGTGTGGTTACTGACAGGGCGTGCAGAGGGCCTTACAATGAAAGTATCAATCCAGAATGGGGCTGACTGACCCATTTCTGGTGTAAAATGAGTAACGTGAAGCTAGGCCCTCCCAGTGGGCCGCTGAGGCACTGCAGTACTGTCAGAAGTGCCTTATTTCATTGAGACATTTGGCTGAATTGCCTGCTAGCTGGAAGATGTGGGAGACTTCAAGGTCCCCATTCGAGGAAGGGAAAAGGCGAGTTCTTCCCAATGCCCCAACCAGCATTTATCCTTCAACCAATATCACTTAAACAAGTAATTTGGTCCATTGTCCCACTGCTGATTGTGGGATTGCACTCTGTACAAATTGGCATTAAAACTCATAGGACTGCGGATGATCCTCTTCTGCCTGCCTTCTTTCCTTGAGATCCCAGACGATGAGGGCTGGCAGGTGGTAACTCTGCCACTTTATTCCGCTCTGCCCTGGGTGGCTACTCTTTGTCCTCCCACAGGAGACTGAAGGTGATTCTGGATCTTCGCTCATACACACTCTCTCATGGCGGGAGGCTGTAATCACAGTTGGACCAGTATTCACATGCAGTTCCCATTGCAGGGTCCTCTGGCTGCCCCATAGCCTTGGGGATCTAAAGTTCCAAGTTTAAATCCCATCTATTCCCAAAGTGTGCCGTCAACAGAATGTACTTTCTTTTAAACAATTTCCATTAAGATCAAGGTTTATTAAAAACAAGAGGTGGAGGAGGGTATGAGACCTTTAATGCCTTGCCAAGTAAATCCTAGAACTAATTGAGCCAAGTCCAAGTTGTAAATTGAGTCAATATTACTTTCGCATTGCAGATGGTTTGCTGTTGTTCAATGTTTCAGTTCTAAGCTCCCTTCTATCCCAATAGTTGCATAAACCACGGAATTTTCACATCTGCGAGATTCATCTTTTTATTTAATGTAATTACAAATGATGACATTGTCTTCCCCTTATGAAGAAAACTCGTTCATTTCCAGAGATCGTTACCTCGAACTTGCTCCCTAGACAATGAGCCCCGAAACCCCAGGGAATGCTTCATTAATCCCATCAGTGACAACAAGAGAATGCGCATAGCTCTTGAGTAAAAACCGGTTGAATTATCCAAAGTGGAAAGTGCGCTACCAAGATACCACCGACATATCTCCTGTTCCACCAGAGGCCCAAACACCATGGACCATTGCTACACAAACCATCAAAGACGTCTACCGCTCCATTCTCCGTCCATATTTCGGTAAATCAGACCATAAGGCCGTGGTCCTTCTCCTGACCTACAAACAGAAACTGATCCTGTGCTCCGTCTCATCATTGTTTGAGACCTGACCCACTCTGGTGGTGTCATCAGCGCATTTGTAAATGGAGTTGGAGCTGATGTTGGCCACACAGTTGTGACTGTATAAGATGTATAGTAAGGGGCAGCACTGGTACTGAGTATTATTGTGGACGAGGTGTTGGGGAAAGTCGTACAGAGCTGGTCTGAGGTAACAGTCGAGCTCCCATGTGACTGCTTGGAGTCGGTGGGCTGGTCTGTGTTCAAGAACTCAGTGTCCAACCTAAATGAGTGTGCCATCACAGACTTCATTAGCAAGTGTGTAGAGGAGCTGCATGCTGAAGAAGTTAATCTGACTGTTCCCCAACCAGAAACCATGGATGAACTGGGAGATCCACTCCCTACTGAAGTCCAGGTCTGAGGTGTTCAAGTCAGGTGACCCTGACCTATACAGGAAATCCAGGTACGGCCTTCGCAAGGCTATCAGGGACAACACCAACTAAGTCAGAGTCCCAGGCTAAGCACACAAACACACGTCGACTTTGGCAAGGCTTACATGATGTAACAGGCTACAAAGCGAAGTTGAATACAATCACTGACAACAGTGCATCCCTCCCCGATGAGCTCAATGCATTCTCTGGTCATTTTGAACAGAAGGCCAATGAACTGATGCCACTTGCCCCCGACAGCTTCGGGTACAAGTGTACCCAGTCACCACCTCAGACATCTTCTTCTTAGAGCGAACCCGCGGAAAGCGATGGAGTCCCCGGCCATGCACTCAGATC